CCGCGCCACAGCTTCCATGGTGTGTCAGCCTTGCAGAAGCTTCACCAATACTAAGCAAAGAGAACACTTGTAGAGAGAACTCCATAGGGCAGTTTAGAAGAGATGCTCTCAGGAGGTTTAGCCATCTTCAGCATGCAACCTTGGGGAAATTAGACTCCATTTTTCAGAATCTCTGCTTTTTGTTATTATTGTTTTGAGTCAGGGCCTCTCTATGTAAGTCCCAACTGGCCTGGGATTCACTATGTAGTCCAGGCTGGCCTTGAATTCAAAGAACTCTGAGATCTGCCTCTGCCTCTTGAGTGCTGGGATTTAAAGATATATGCCCCATGCCTGGCAGACTGTTTTTTCAAACTAGCTCCCAGGTAAGGCCGTTACTTACCACTCTTTGAGTGGTATTCCGAAGGACTCTGGGCAGTACTGTCTGCATCCTGACACTTAGGATGGCAAGACTGATGAGAGGCTTGGAATCATGATGGCAGTGATGAGGATCCAGGAGTGTGCTGGATCAGTGGTCCTCAACCTTCCTGATGCTGCGACCCCTTAACAAAGTTCCTCAGGTTGTGGTGACCCTCAACCATAACATCATTTTGTGGCTATGTCATGAGGCTCTGGGTTTATCCCCAGCAGAGCATAAACCAGGTTTGGTGGTGCATGCTTATAATCCCCGCACTAGAGAGGCGGAGGCAGGAGGATCATAAATTCAGCGCAATCCTAAGTTTGACAGCAAGCTTGAAGTCAACCTGGGATACATGACCTTGCTTGATCTGGGAGAACAGTGGCAGTGGAGACAACTCTGGGTCTGGTCTGAATTTAACAGGTTTGTTGCTACCTAGGTCAAGAGACAACTAATGAAATATATAAAGGGACCAGTATCCCGTTTTCACAATACTAACATCCTGTCCCTCTTTTTATAGTAGAGACTTTCAGTGCGCCGAGAATTACGCCTCTATTCGTGGCGTCTCACAAGGATGTTCTCACCATCAGCAACAGTGTGAGCACAACAGGACACTACGACAGCACCACTAGCGACACAACCTTCTAGCTCCAACTCCTTAAAGCCTACGTTCCATGAATGTGTTCAGTATCTGCTCAGTGTCAAATGTCTTCATCAACCCTTCACAGTACAGTAGTGAGCTGGCTCTGGACGTGCAATGCTGCAACTTCAGCACCTTTGAGGCTAGCCTGGGCTACACAAACCCAACTCCTTAAAAAAAAAAAAAAAGCTAAACCAAGGGCTGGAGAGGTGGCTCAGTGGTTAAGAGCACTGCCTGCTCTTCCAAAGGTCCTGAGGTCAATTCCCAGCAACCACATGGTGGCTCACAACCATCTGTAATGAGATCTGGTGCCCTCTTCTGGCCTGCAGACACAATACTGTATACATAATAAATAAATCTTTAAAAAAAAAAAAAGCTAAACCAAAAATGATAGTGTAAAGAAAACAAATAAGGGACACTGTGTAGACTTATTGTGGAAGGTCCTGAGGTTTTACCAAAAAAAAAACAAAACAAACAAATAAACAAACAAAAAAAACCCCAGGGGATCGTATAGCTTAGGATGGCCTCAGACTTCCTACAGAGACTAAGATGATCTTGAATTCTGATATTCCTACTGAGCTGGAGTACAGACAAGCTGTTTTCAACTTTGAGTCAGGGTCTCATTATGAAGCCCTGGCTGGCCTGGAACTTGGTATGTAGACCATGTTGGCTCCAATTTGCAGAGATCCACCTGTGTCTGTCTCTTAAGAGCTGGGATTAAAGCGCCACCACCATTCCTAACTGTTTGTTTTTCAAGACAGGGTTTCTCTGTGTAGCCCTGGCTGTCCTGGAACTCACTCTGTAGACCAGACTGGTCTCAAACTCACAGAGCTCTGCCTCTGTCTAAGTGTTAGGATTAAAGGTATGTGCTTTGATTTCAACTTGTGAAACTAAATTTCTCTTTTTCCAAGCATGTTTCTTAACATCTCCAATGTGCTCTTTCTATTCCTTAAAAAAAAGTTTGTTCACTTTCCTTAACCTTCTCTTTGAGTATGACTCTCATTTCATCACAGAGAGACTATACCGCAGAACAGAATAAGCTTTCTTTCATTTCCTTCTCCATTTCCATGTGTGGGTGTGTGAATGTGTGCTTGCAGAGGTCCACGTTGATGCTGGGACTCCTCCCCATTGCTCTTTCACCTTACACATTGAATCAGGATCTTAACTGAACCCAGAGTTCCCTCGTCAGCTTGCTCTGGGGATTCCCCACCTGACCTCCAAGGCTGGTCACCACGCTCACTGGGCATTTCATGTGAGTTCTGAGTATCCAAACTCTGGTCCCAACATGTGAGCAGCAAGTGCTTCGGCCACGGAGTAGCTCTCCAGACCATCACTTTATTTCGGGACAGTCTCCCTATGTAGCCAGGCTATCCTTAATCTTAATATCCTATTGCTCCAGCATCCCAAATTCTGGGATTATAGAATAAGTATGAACTATGTAGTTCTCATGCCTAGAGTTGTGATTTACTTACTCTACAGTCATGGTCATGTCTCCTCATGTGTAAGGGGAAGGAAGAGCTTATCATATAGGGTGAGGACAAAGCCATGTATGTTGCCAGACATAAAGCTTTTAGTGCATGTTAGGTGGTAGCACATCACCCTTAAACTGCACAACTGGGGAGCTTTTGACTCCCAGACATTTAAGCTGCGGTCTGATAGTATAATACCAGTCTGAAAAACAACTGTTTCATGGGTATTTTAAAGCTCAAAGTGAAACGGCATCCAGAAGAGTGACCTGAAAGTTATTTTGTTTGATTTTGTCCAGTTTAAGAAGTACTTGGAGCTGGGCAATGGCAGTGTATGCCTTCAATCCAGCACTTGGGAGGCAGAGGCAGGTGGATAGCTTTGAGTTTGAGGCCAGCCTGGTCTACAGAGCAAGTCCTAGAGCGGCCAGGACTGCACAGAGAAACCCTATCTTGAAAAACAAAACAAAACAAAATAAAATATCTGGAAACCATGAGAATACCAAAGAGCTGCTGTTTGCTCAGGTCATAATTCTGGTGTATGAGATCAGGTGCCAAGGAGATCATTATGATGCCAAAATTCCAGCCTGCCTTCTTCGCAGATTCACACTGACACACCAAGCTGCCTTGATTGAACCAAGTCCTGGCTGAAATAACCTCAGGAAGTATGGACTATAGTAGAAAAAAACCCAAAACTTAAACACAGGGTTGGAAATGTGGGCTCTTAGAAGAATAACTGCTTAGCTATGGATTTTCAGCACCACAAAATGAATCAAAACACAAATATAAACCTGATAATTTTCCATGTTTACTAGGTAAGCTAGATTTGGTTTCATTGCTTATTTTTTTGCTGTGAAGGATGTGTTAGAAAACGTCAGGAACACAAAGTAACACCCTCAAGTCACACCGGGAAACAGGAGGGAGAGCCCATTCCAGCACACGAGTGGCAGTTCTAGGCCAGCAAAAGAACTAACCAATGAATGAGACCTTACCAAAAAGCTTTACCTGAGGTAAGAAACATGGCATGTACAACCTCATCTGTGCCAATGAACAAAACAGTTTAGCTGGATGGTGGTGGCGCATGCCTTTAATCCCAGCACTTGGGAGACAGAGGTAGGCGGATCTGTGAGTTTGAGGCCAGCCTGGTCTACAAGAGCTAGTTCCAGGACAGCCAGGGCTACACAGAGAAACCCTGTTTTGAAACAAAAAACTAAAAAAACCAAAAACCCAGTTTAATCACAATGCTAGTTCCTGAACATTTGACTTAACACATCAACAAATTAAAAACAAATTCTCTAAAAATTACCTAAAATGAATATACTGAAGCTGTGTTGGTGCACACTGATTGGTCATCCCAGAATTTGTGAGCTAAAGGCAGGAAGATCAAGCGATCAAGGCTAGCCTTAGTTACATACTGAGTAGGTATACCAGAAGGTTAACTGGGGCTATAAGAGAGACTCTCTCTTAAACAGCAAAACAGAACTCAAGAAAAATACTAGTACTAAAATGATACTGGGAAGACAAAACAATCCAACAACAAAAACCTCCCCCAAATTTAGAGAGCATTTCTGGTCTGTGGCCATGACCTCTGTGTGGTTAGTAACTAGTAGTAGCTGCCTTTGGAGTTAATATTCATCTGTAGGAGGAACACAGCTTTCTCTGATGAGCTGTTTGACAAATTCCCAATTCTCACTTATCTGAATGCGAGATTCTAGTGTCTCTAATTGTTAGTCTAATAGATTAAATTTGGACCAACTGAACTAGGTGAGAAACACGTTGAAATATGAAGTCACTGTGCACTTAAACACCTGATTTTGGTTTGGTGTGTGGTCATGATCCTGATGAGTGGATGAATCAGTGGAGATTTCGGTCCCCGTACACTTTAGATCTGGCATACATCTGTAGGTTTGGGGTCGCTACTACTGAATTTCACTGTTGATATGTGTCTGGCCAGGCTTGAAAGCATAGGCCTTTTACCCCAGCACTTGAGGGACAGAAGAGAGCGCATTTCCATGAGTTCAAGGCCAGCCAGATCTACATAGTGAGTTCTAGGGTAGCTAGGGTTATATAGTGAAACTGTCTAAAACAATACTAATAAAAACAAGTGGTGGGGTTTCAAGGAGGAGAGGATGAGATGTTTCTTTGTAGGTTTGCCATTTCAAGGGCAAATACATCACCCGCATCCTGACTTCGCAGACAGTGCCCAAGCATAGCCTAGGCGATACTACGTGCTACTCCCAGTACTGCACTTGCTGCAAGACAGGATCCACTGCCTAAGTATCGACACGTTTCTCCTTGGCCTCCGAAGAGCTACCTTCTTCAGAGTAGCTCGCACCATGAGTCTGGAGAGACACACAGCCAGTCTCCCTAAACTTAGGTTAAAGAGTCCAGACAACTTAGCTCAGGAGTCAGGCCAAGTAAGTGACGCAAGTCGGAAGTAGGTCAGGAGTTCCAGCTTCAAGATCTCATCCCAGAGTCTGTGACAGTAGTAACAGACGCTTACCTGTTTTTGCACCGGCCTCCAGCCGGAAACATTCAGCAAGAATCTAAACCACGGGGGAATCAAAGGTGAAGTCTGCGTTGTTCTCCCACCGCCCCCACAACAGCCCCAGGTCTGCGCACGCGTCCTACTCCTTCGGCGGCTTCCCTAGCCTGCCAGAGGCTCATTCTCATTAACTACGCATGCGAGAAACAGAGGCGTCTTCCCGCAGTTTCTAGAGAACCAATCGGCGGGGGCCTTGACCTCAAGCCCCACCCTCACGCCGCTTGCGTCGCCCTGCCCTCTTTGGCGCGAGCTGCGCGTTAGGGAACGAGGGAAGGTGCCAGTCTGCGCCGGCTCGTCCCTCTCCCGAGCAGCCAATCGCCGGTGAGCGGCCGGGCACGCGCGCGCGCGCGCCTCCTGGAGTTTAACGGTCGCGTGAGGCCAATTCCCCGGGCCAGGCTAGGCAGAGGCGAGGAGGCCAGGTAAGCGGTCGCGGCTTGTGGGCAGCTGCGTGCCGCGAGGGCTGAGGACTGAGTCCTAGACGATCCCATCAGAGGGGACCCCCTTGGGTGCGTTGACAGGCTAGGGTGAGGGACTGTGGCTACCGCAAAGCTGGCCGGAGCCCGCTGGCGTGTGCGGGTCCGCAGTTGCGGGCGCTCTTTCTAGACGCGTGCCCTTGAGTGACATCAGCGAGGCCCAATCGGAGGGCGGCCTTTGTAAGGGGCGTGGGTGCTCGCCCCCTCCACCCCGGTAGTGGTACCCACGCTTCCATTGGAAATGACAGTGATCGCGAGCGGCTCTCCAACATGCCTGCTGCCTTGTATTCTCTCCTCCGGTCTTGAACCGATAGGCGCTACCCGCGACTAGGGTCTGACGTCTGCCCCTGAAACCACCTCGTACTGGTTCCCCGCAGAGGAAGCCCTGTGAACTTTCAAATTGTTAATGCTACTCCGTCACTCCTGCCTCCGACTCCAAAGGGTTGTAGGGTGAGGGACAGAGCATCGTTTTTTGGTGCTGAAAGTTATGTTTAGAAATGTCTGTACCTATATTCAGTTTCTATCAAGTTTATTTCAGATCCATAGCGGGTTTCCCCCTTTTCTCCTCGCCCTTCCCCGTCCCGGGAGAGGTGTCATTGAGGTTCTAGTGGTGTTTCTATCTAAATCTTGCATCCGGATTACCTCAGCGGAGGTGGATGTGGGGGGAGGGCCTGTGAGAAGAGATGGAACGGTAGATCCACCTCTCTGGAGAGTTTGTGGTCATTTGAATCCACGTATTTTCGTTGCCAGTTGGAAGAGGCAGCCCCTGGCTTTTTCAATACCCCATTTGTCACTGGTGATGGGCCAGACACTGGGGTGGGAAAGTGGCGGAAGTCAAATCCATTTGGTTAGATCTGTGCCTGTCCTGGAGGCAATGAATTGATTGTGTTCTTTAAGCCCTGGAAAGTGAGAGTTGGGTGGCACAGGAATGTGAGAAAGTTCTTCCGATGCAGTCTCTAAACTTCTCATTTTATAAGCAGCATGGTTTTTTTTGTTTTGTTTTGGTTTTTGTTGTTGTTCCCCCTCATCTCTTTGAAATCAGTGGATTCTGGAAAGATGATGCATATGGTTGGGCTTATGACAGCAAGTTTAAATCTATATATCCAGATTTAGTAAAATTTTAGTTAACTTGTTCAGAGTACAAAGTATTGAGAATTGTACATCCAGCCATTTTTAACAGTTAAATAGCTCTTAAACGCAAACATAAGACTAAATAGTTAAGTCCTGTTAGTGGCTACATAAGTTAACAAACCTTCTGCAGTGTAGGACTTACTAAATAAGTGAACCAGGCTGAAAGTATTCCATTTATTATGTAATAGAGTGCACCTAGAACCTTTATTATTAAACACAAAATTCTGAAATATTGCCTGTAGGGGATAATGTGATTCTTACAAAAAGACATATGGTCCCTATACATAAACTACATCCTGCTGAAAGTATGTGATTTAGGGGTTTTAGAAGAAGAAATGCTAACTCCAGAACTTTCCATCACCCTGAGGTGAAAAGCGAGTGCACTGCAGTGGCGTCCTTTCTCCCGTCCTCCTCGGGGCTTCATAGTCTGCTATGAAGGTTTGCCCTGTGGGTTTGCCAGTGCTAGATTCTTCATATAAATGAAGTCATAGAGTAGTAGTTTTTTTTTTTTTTTTTCCCTGAGACAGGGTTTCTCTGGGTAGCTTTGGAGCCTGTCCTGGAACTCTCTGTGTAGACCAGGCTGGCTTCAAGTTGACAGAGATCCTCCTGCCCCTGCTTCCTGAGTGCTGGGACTAAAGGTGTGCCCCACCACTGCCCAGCCTGGCTGCTGTTCTTTATGTAGATGAATTTTCAAGGTCTGCAAAGCCATGAAAAGATAGTGGGTAAATTGTACATTTAATGGTTTTTCCGTAGTTTTCCCTGTTCATCTTCAGACTCCTTGGAAGCATAGCGGACTTCATAGCTCTGAATGTCAGCTGCTGAGGATGCCGGTAGACGATGAGGCAGCTGAAGAGGAGCTGGAAGCAGCCTCCTCCTTCAGGAGAAACAACAGTGCTTCCAAATGACAGAGCTTAACCATTTCCATACGATATGGAGGATTTTGATTTGGCAGAAACTTTACAAAAATCTTCACCTTCTGCAGACTCTGATATTAAAAGTACTCCCCATTCTCTCGGATTGAGCTTGCGTGCTAATAGGTAAGAATTGTTAGATACTATTTCCTTTAAGATAGGATTTCTCTGTGTTTGTTCTGGAACTCTCTCTGTAGACCAGACTGGCTTTTTTTTTTTTTTAATTTATTTATTTATTAACGATTTCTGCCTCCTCCCCGCCACTGCCTCCCATTTCCCCCTCCCCCAGTCAAGTCCCCCTCCTTCGTCAGCCCAAAGAGCAATCAGGGTTCCCTGCCCTTTGGGAAGTCCAAGGACCACCCACCTCCATCCAGGTCTAGTAAGGTGAGCATCCAAACTGCCTAGGCTCCCACAAAGTCAGTACGTGCAGTAGGATCAAAAACCCATTGCCATTGTTCTTGAGTTCTCAGTAGTCCTCATTGTCTGCTATGTTCAGGGAGTCCGGTTTTATCCCAGGCTTTTTCAGACTCAGGCCAGCTGGCCTTGGTGAGTTCCCGATAGAACATCCCCATTGTCTCAGTGTGTGGGTGCACCCCTCGTGGTCCTGAGTTCCTTGCTCGTGCTTTCTCTCCTTCTGCTCCTGATTTGGACCTTGAGATTTCAGTCCGGTGCTCCAATGTGGGTCTCTGTCTCCTTTCATCGCCTGATGAAGGTTAATATTTAGGAGGATGCCTATATGTTTTTCTTTGGGTGACCAGACTGGCTTTGAACTCAGAGGTCCACCTGTCTCTGTCTCCCTAGTGCTGGGGACAATGGTGTGTGCCACCACCACCAGGTGGTTGGATACTATTTTCATGTGTTAATAAACCAAAATAACTTTATTTGCAGAACTGACCAGTTGATCTAATCAGTGTCATTGTTGCCTTAAAGAACAAACAACCCATCTCTGATTAGGAACTGTTTAGGGACAGTCCTGGAACTCTCACTGTAGACCAAACTGGCCTTGAACTGAGAGATCCATCATTATGCTTTTTTTATTTTGTAACTTACAAGCATATCTTTAAAATTTGATAGCATATATATATACATATATATATATATACATATATATATATAATTTTTTTGAGGTAAGACCTCTTATAGCCAAGGCTAACCTGACTCATAATGTACTCAGAGATAATCTTGATCTTTTGATTCTCTACATCCTGATAATTGCCTAGTTATTTTTCCTTTTTTTTTTTTTTAACCTTTTTAATTTTTTTAAAGAGACAGTCTAATTGTGTAGCTCAGGCTGGCCTTAAACTCAAGGAAGTCCTCCTGTCTTAGCCTTCCTAGTACTGGGGTTACAAATGTGAGCTACTGGGCTGAAGAGATAGCTCAGTGGTTAAGAGCACTGGCTGCTCTTCCAGAGGTCCTGAGTTCAATTCCCAGTAACCACATGGTGGCTCACAACCATCTATAATGATATCTGGTGTCCTCTTCTGATTAACATGCAGGCGAAACACTGTATAAATAATAAATGTTTAGAAAAATAAATTAAAAAAAAAACAAATGTGAGCTACAACACCTGGGTTATTTCTACATTCTAAATTAATAGTATAGATAATATTTTATATTGTAGAAGCATACCAATCTGGGAAACAGTAATTAAAAATGCATATTAGAACTGGACAGAGGTGGCACACGCTTTTAATTCCAGTACTCGGGAGGCAGAGGCAGGTGGATCTCTGTGAATTCCAGGACAGCCTGGTCCACAGAGCTAGTTCCAGGATAACTAAGCCTACCAAAGAAACTCTTCCAAAACAAAACAAAACAAACAAAAAAAAAACCCAAAAAACCTCAAAAAGCAAAAAACAGACTGAGTTGACAAAATAGCCAATAAAATTCTTATGTATTTAATTATTGATTCAATTATTTAGGGTCTCTCTGTCCCTGGCTGCCCCGAAGCTCATTTATTTAGTCCAGGTTGGCTTGGAACCTGTAGCAGTCTCTTGACTCTACCTCTCAAGCTTTGTGAAGACACACACACACACACACACACACACACACACACACACACACATATTTGGGTGCTCCTCCCTCCCTCCCTCCCTCCCTCCCTCCCTCCCTCCCTCCCTCCCTCCCTCTCTCCTTCCTTTCTCTTTTTTGATACAGGGCCTCTCTATATAACCTTAGCTCTATTTTGCCAGGCTGGCCTCTAACTCATAGAGATCCATCTACCTCTGCCTCTAGAGTTCTGGGATTAAAGACGTGTACCACCCAAAGGGTCAGATAGCTTTAAATATAAAGATTTTGATGAATTTGTGTATTATAAATTAACTACCTTAAAAACTGTTCATTCTTGGCCGGGCGGTGGTGGCGCATGCCTTTAATCCTAGCACTCGGGAGGCAGAGGCAGGTGGATCTCTGTGAGTTCGAGGCCAGCCTGGTCTACAAGAACTAGTTCCAGGACGGGAACCAAAAGCTGCGGAGAAACCCTGTCTCAAAAAATCCAAAAACAACAACAACAACAAAAAAAAAACATCAAAAACCTGTTCATTCTCTCCCATCCTTGTGAGGAATTTGAAGCAGTAATATCCCACGGGTAAGGTAGTATGAGAGAAAGATGTAAAGGCCCGAGACATGTCTGCTGCAATACTCCACCTTGAAGCCGAATGCTGGCCACATTTACCTCCTGCCTCATTTGGTGGCCCCTCTGAAATCTACTTCTAGAAGAAATTGCATTTAGTACTTTCATTGCCTGTTGAACCTATGTACTTCTCATGAAATTGATGTCATTGAATTTATATCTCCTTTCTTTTGACTGACACTTAAATCCACCATGGTGAAACTAGATTATTGCAACTCTGTAAAGTTCTTATGTACAACACATATTTTAAAGAATTTATTGTGGTCTTGCTCTTCAATTTTTTTCCGCTTCTAACTTTATTATTTTATTATTTTCATTTTGGTTAGTGTGTGTGTGTGTGTGTGTGTGTGTGTGTGTGTGCGCGCACGCATGTGTGCTAAACAAAACAGATCTACGTGGTAAGTAAGTAAAATTGCTCAGGGACTGGGAATGTAATTCCACTGGTTGAATACTTATTTGACATGCAGGAAGCCCTGGGTTCTGTTCCTAGCACAGCAGAAATCAGGAATCATGCCTGTAATTCCTACACTTGGGAAGAAAAGGTAGGAAGAATAGCAGTTCAAGCTCATCTTCTCCTATGTAGTGAGTTTGAGGCCAGCCTTACATACACGTGGCTGAAAAATAATAACAGTAAATTGGAGGAAAGATGGCTTAGAGGCTAAGAGCACAGACTACTCTTCCAAAGGACCCAGGCCTAATTCCCAGCACCCACTTGACAGCTCACAACTGTTTGTGGCTCTAGTTACAGGGGATCCAGCATTCTCACAGATACATATATGCAGGCAAAACACCAAAGCACATAGGATAAAAATAAATCATTGAAAAAAGAAAACATTTGGCCGGGCAGTGGTGGCGCTCGCCTTCCATCCCAGCACTTGGGAGGCAGAGGCAGGCAGATTTTTTTGAGTTCGAGGCTAACCTAGTCTACAATAGCTAGTTCCAGGACAGGCTCCAAAGCTACAGAGAAATGCTGTCTCAAAAAACAACAAAAAAGCAACAACAACAAAAAACAAAACAAAAAAACCAATAAAAATGCCCTTTTAGCTATAAACAGATCTGATGTTCTGAATTGTATTTGGGGTGTTTATGAACAAATCTGAAGTCATCCCCCATTTGGAAGTCTTAGTGTTCCATTACACACTGTACAGGCTCAATAAATCCTATTTATTGACTGCTAATTGGGTTGGCAGAGCTTTCATTCACAGGCAGTTCAGTGATAAGCACGAGCTTATCACATGGAATCTGAGGATCTGGTTACGGGATTGACTGTTCTGGCAGCAGAAAGAGACTGCTTAGCGGACAATGGAGGGCTGTTGTTAAAGTGGGCCAGATGAGCCTCCAGAATAGTTAAGGGAAGCTGTGCCATCTTCCCTGTCGTTTCTGCTGGAGAAGGCTTCTCTCATAAAGACGTGAGTGTGTCCTGTGTGGTCAGGTTTCTGAGGAGTATTAGGTGTCAGTGGTTGTGTTCTGCTCTGCTAGATCTTGAACTGCTGAATTAGTCAACTCTTCAGTTGAATGAGAAAACCATCTGAATTATTTATGTTTCAACAGAAGTAGTCCCCACCTTAGTACAAATGGGGTATCCTCTTTCTCAGGGAAGACCGGGCCACCTGTCGTTCAAGGCACAGTCGAAGTCCTCACTGCTTTAACACAAGAGCTGCAGAACAGTGACCGGACTGCCTCAGAGCTTTGGAAGAACTGTGAGGTATCTCATTTTGTTTTATTTGGGGGGTGGTGGTGCTCTTTTAAATATGAAATAAATGTGGCTGTACTGAATTGTTAGAAATTTATGTCCAGAAAAGCATGATATTTAACCTTAGTTCTATAGTCAAATGACCAAGCATAAGAAAACTGATACTGAAGGAACAAGAGAAGGGAGATGGGACATCATGGCCACAGAGAGCAGACTGGAGACTCCCTGTGAACTGAAGTCTTTGTTCCAGCACCCTCGGACTGTTAAAATTGTTACTAATTACAGTCTTCTAAGTGACTCTTCAAGTTGTCCTCATTTTTACAAACCTAAATCTTCTTTTTTTCTGGAGTATTTTGAATGCTCTTATGATAAATTAAGGCCTCTATTTTGTGCCTAACACATTCTTCTGATGCGTTGACCTGTCGGCAGTGACTTCTTTGGTTAAACCGTGATGGAAATTTAATTCTTAGGAACATCTCCCAGTGGAAGTATGGGAATTGGTGGTGGTGTGCGCACCTAGCCCTGGAAACAAGCCAGGAAAAAGGAGAATCACAGAAACAAACTTAAAGACTGACATATAGAAGGATACTTACAAATTTTGTTTTGGAGAATAATACTCAAGATGGCCTTTTCTCAATTGTTCATTTGTTTTTTGAGACAGGCTCTTTATGTAGCTCTGTCTGACTTGGAGCTTACTGTGTAGACTAGGCTGGCCTCAATCTCACAGAGATTTTCCTGACCCTGCCTCCCGAGTGCTGGGACTAAAGGTGGACTCTACCATGCCAGACTTTTTGCTCTTTAGACTCCATAAAAGGTTGTAATGTTTTATAGAAATGCAAACGTAATTATCAAACTCTAAGCAGTAGATTTTAACATTAATTGTACTTTTAGAACCATAACTTGTGTTTTTAGAATATAAAACTGAAAGAAAGATTTCCTGGTCTAAGAATTCAGTAGCAATTACCCCAAATATAATGACTTCAAAGAATTTGCATTTAAAATGAACTTTTCAGAGTTTTGGGAGGTTGTGGTAGTTTGCAGCAGGGTCTCACTCTAGCCCAGGTCTCACTCTGGAACTCATAATGTCCCCTAGCCTGGCCTTCAGTTCTTGGCAGTGTTTCTGCCTTAGCTTCCCAAGCACTGGAATGTGGGGTTTGAGTAGTTGGCAGCTTTTCATTTTTCTCCAATGGTTTTTTATGTTTTTCACCTAGCAATCACTGAACCAATGTGGAAGACCCATAAGATGTATTTGTGTATGATGCCGCTAAGACCCAGGATGGCCTGGTCTGGACATGTAGCTCAGTGGCATGGTACATGTTTAGCATGCATGAGACCCTGGGTTCTAATCCAGCATCTGGAGAAAACAAGTTTGATGAACTATTTTTCCTGTGTGGTCATTAACCTGTGACCAGTAACATGTAAATAGGACCAAGAGCAACTACCACAGCACAGTTTATTTCTGACAACTTTTGTTTGATTAGAAATTGTTACTTTAGTACTTTGAATCAACACTTGAAGTTAGAGAGAGACTGTATTTCTGAGTTTAATGTATTGATTTAAAAAAAAAATGGTTGGGGGAGGAGCGGAGGAGGTGGAATTTTTTTTTTTTTTTTTTCCGAGACAGGGTTTCTCTGTGGCTTTGGAGCCTGTCCTGGCACTAGCTCTGTAGACCAGGCTGGTCTCGAACTCACAGAGATCCGCCTGCCTCTGCTTCCCGAGTGCTGGGATTAAAGGCGTGCGCCCGGCGAGGTGGAAATTTTTAAGTAAAAATAAATAAATAAATGAATAAATGAATGAATGAATGAATGGTTGGGCCTGGATTTCCTTGTGGATGATTCCAGGCTCATAGTCTGGCCCTGGGCTCTCATTTGCAAAGTTCAATCTTGGTTGATGCAGAGTCAGTTGGTCTGAGGAGGAGGAGACTGAGCTAGAGGTTTTTTGTTTTGTTTTGTTTTTTTAAGATTTATTTATTATGTATACAATGTTCTGCCTGCATATGTGC